AAGACAAGAATGCATCATCCTGGTCTTTGTTCTGCAGAGTGCTGTGCTCGTTAGCAGTACTGCTTAATAATAAATAATAATAATTAGGGGGAGGCAGTGTGGTCTAATGCATAGGCAGGGGCTGCACTGGGGGGGGTGTTTCAGGGGCTGTAGCCACCTCAAAAAGTGCCTTAGTTCCACTGTAGCTTCTGCTGCTCTCCAGCTGCCCAGCTCTCAAGGCAGAGTGGAGAGAGCAGTGGCTGCTGGCCAGGCGCCCAGCTCCAGCAGCAGCAGAGAAATAAGCCTGAGTGAGGGACCTGGGGGCCTGAGAGCAGCCCCTGGCCATGTCCTCGCTCGCCAGGGCGCACTGCCCAGGGCAGGTGGAGGGTTCAGAGCTCCCCTCAGCAGACCAGACTGACCTGCTCCAGCCCAGGGTCCTGGGCCCCGGCCCCACAGTCACTGCTCCCCAAGGACTCTGCTGGCCCTGGAGTCAGATCCCTCCACGTGGGCAGCTCTTACTGGCTGAACAACCAGCGCCCCACACTGCCCGATTCCTGCCTCCGACCTGGCCAGGAGGCAGGGCCAACGAGAGGGACAGGGCCTTGTGGCAAGGGGGGGGGCACAGCCCCCCAATTTTCTGTCTGGCCCCCCACAGCCCCCACACCAGGAACAGGCTGGTGGCGCCCCGGTGCATAGGGACTATGTAGACTCCCCCTCTGTGTCTTTCTTCTCCCACTCCTTGTTTAGACAGTGAGCTCCTCAGGCAGGGATGGTCTCTTACAGTATGTATGTACTGGGCCTAAAACAGTGGGGCTCTACGGGTGGTTGAGGATTCTGGGTGCAAAGGGAATAAATAATAATGTGAAATGTCCTTTCCTTCCATCTCAGACTTTCTTCCTCACCTCATTTCCTTTTTCTTTGTCTATTTTACTTCCTCTTTCCTTAGGCCCCTTACATATTTCTATCCCTCTCCTCTGCTTTGCACACACTCTCTTTCTCTCTCTCCCATCCTTTCTTTTCCACTCCCAGCTCTCTCTTTTCCTCTGTCTTCTCCCCTCTCCACATTCCTTTTGTCTCATGTCTCCATCTCTATCTCCCTTCTTTGAATCCCCCCCCGAGTCTCTGTTTGGCCCATTGCTGTTGAGATTTGCCTCCCGGAAGCAGACGTTCCACCGTGGGGCTCAATTCCCTGCATCTGGGCTTCTCTCTAGATCCCTAGGAGCCAGGCAGTGCTCTCACTGGCACTTAGGGAGAGGCCCCCTGGAGCCCGTATGGCAGGCTGGAGCCAGTGGGACAGGCTGGCTAACAGTGCCAGTGGGGCCTGTGCAAACTGCCCAGTCTGAGCCCTCCACACTCACCGCTCTGAACTTCATACCGTGACCTTCAGCAGAGAGTTCCTGCTCGTGCACTTGGCTTCCTTGTAGAGAAATGGAAACATTCTTCAGTGGATCATTTGCAAACAATTTTGTTTGATTTAATTCTTCCTCCATTGCAATAATTTCAAATAGTGACACTGAACTTTGTGTTTCAGGAGCTGCAGAAAATACTGCTGCTGTCATTGTGGTGAATCAGACACCCCCTTCTATCCGTGCAATGGAAGGATCAGAGTTCACCATCGAGTGTACATTCAACTCAAGCAATAACTCTATCAAGTGGTTTGGTGATTGGAGTAAAACCAGAAACAATGTAACAGCAAAGGTGAACAGTGTAATAGATCGAACCATGTTATCAGCAGATACAGAAAAGAGGTCTCTTTCCCTCACTGTGAAGAAAGCCGATGTCATGGATTCTGGAACCTACGTATGTGGGGTTGGGAGCAAATATGGGACATCTCCTGGGACTGGAACCCAAGTGACCATCGATGGTAAGTACCAGCATTTCCTTCTCTGTTCTACAAAACCCTTCCGGGGGAGCTCAGGACACTGGCTGGTTCCAGACAGGGCCGGCTCCAGGCACCAGCTGAGCAAGCTGGTGCTTGGGGCGGCAGATTGAACGAGGCAGCATTCTGCCCAATCCTAGGGCGGCACGGCCGCTTTTTGTTGTTGTTGTTGTTCCGCTCCAGTCGCCCTGTAGGGGGCGGCGGCGTGGAGGACGGGAGCGCCCTGCAGCAAGCCTGGCAGGGCAGTCCTCATCCTTCCCTCCCCGCCGACCAGAGCGGAGCCCTCCCGGCAGGCTGCGACGGGAGGGGCCACATAGCAGCGCCCCGCTGTAGCCCTGGCCGCCCCCCTTCTCTCTCTCTCCTGCCCGCTCCCTCCCCCCTGCTAGCCGGTTCCCCTGCACCCGCGCTCCGTCTGTGCCGCAGGTGTTTTTTTTTTTTTGCTGGGGGCTGCCAAAAAGCCAGAGCCGGCCCTGCTTCCAGAGAGCTGGGGCTGGTGGTGTTGGGGGAGATGGAGCAGCACAAAGCGTAAAGGGCAGAGCTGTGGGCAAAACTGGGGGACATTCTGTGGTACGTACAATGGTCCTGATCCTGCATTCCACTAATTTCTGTGGGGCTTTGGCTGCACAAGGAATGCAGGGTCAAGCCCCAGATATTCAAAAACTGTTTTGAGATGGGGCGTGAGGGGAGGTTTCTAATTGGCTAAGCCTGTGAGCCCTTACACGCAACTTGAGAGACTAGGTGGGTGAGGGAATATCTTCTATTGGACCAACTTCTGTCAGTGAGAGAGACAAGCTTTCAAGCTTATGCAGAGCTCTTCTTCAGCTCCTGGAAACATAGAACTGGTCTACACTACAGATCTATGTTGGCATAACTACGTTGCTCAGGGGTGTGAAAAATCCAGAGTCCCAGAGGCTAGTTACAAGTAGAGCAACCTGGGGAGTCACTGGCCCAGAACTCTAGAGGACCTGGGATCTCCAGCCTGGGGCAGTCTGCATGGCGAAGCTACCCCAGAGCTGCACCCTTGGGAGCTGGTCCTGGAACTTCCAGGCTTCCAGCTCCATGGCAGGGACACTGGAAGCGCCAAGAGCCCTGGCTCGAGCAGGGAGCCAAGCAGACAACAAGAGCCCCAAGACTCGACTCCCGACTCCCCGAGCTGGGGCTCGCGGGACACAAGAACATAAGAACGGCCAGACTGGGTGAGACCAAAGGTCCATCTAGCCCAGTATCCTGTCTTCTGACAGTGGCCAATGCCAGGTGCCCCAGAGGGAATGAACAGAACAGGTCATCATCAAGTGATCCAGCCCCGTCGCCCATTCCCAACTTCTGGCATCCCCATCCCCGCCCATCCTGGCTAATAGCCATTGATGGACCATCCTCCAGGCACTTATCTGGTTCTTTTTTGAACCCTGTGGCTCTTGGAACACCAACAGAAACCGGTGTGTGTTTTGACGAAAGTGGAGTCAAATCTGTAGTAGATTTGGTGAATCAGTTCTCGTCAGTGCATTGGCATTTTCAATCTAAGGTAAGTTTTGCCAGAACATTTTCAATCATCTCCACTGTACATGGACATAGTGCGAGAGCCCCTGAGGCAAAGAATTTACACTCTAACAGACAAGACAGAAAAAAGGGGGAGAACTGGCAGACTTCCTAACAGTAGATTGGGAAGTGAGACACAGAGAGATTAAAGGACTAAATCCACACAGGGCTTTAGGCCCTTAAATCCAACATCTGGGGGCCATGGAGATCCTCAAAACCACTGCTCAGCTGCCGCCTAGCCCTGGAGCTGCTGAAATTTCCACCAGTAAAACCAGCGCTAAAGACTTGCTGACACTCTCTCGCTATGCTGTAAGCACAGCCCTGCCCAGAAAAACGGTTGCACCCCGATCCTCACTCCCCTGCCATTGCCAGCAGAAGTGCATCACTTCTCAGAACTGCCCATTCCACGTCCTTCAGTGAATCCCATTTATCTGTAACAAAGGAGAATTGGCCACCCTCTCTCTTGCCCTGCATTGGGCTGGTGGAGGGAAATAGGTCTCAAGAAGGGTTTGAGTGTAAGGAATTTGGCAGGCATGTCAGGCATACACAAGGTTCGGGTAAGACGTCACATTGCTGGAGGGGTTTTGTCTAAACTGAAGCTTCTGGGGTTACCTGCTCATTAAACAGAGCAGAAAAGTCTTGACATGCACGAAACAGCTCTATATGGGGCCAAACGAAAGAACATCAGTTTAAACTCTTAACAAGCAGGGGAAACTATAATAGGCAGGTTTGGAAAAGGACATTAAATGACAGGACTGGAGAGATTCATTTTATACATCTGGCCTTGTCTGGTGGCACATTGAACTATTTCTCAATGAAGGTGCCATCATCTGTGTTTGTCTTTCTGTAGAAATTACCGACCTGATGGTGAATCAAACCCCAACCAGTGTCAGTGGTTTAGAAGGCACAGAACTTACCATGAATTGTACATTCAAGACAGTCAATAACCACAGCACCATGTATGTGCGATGGTATAACTATGGGACTGAGGGACTAAAGAAAGAGCTGGTGAATGACAATGATGTGATCACAACCCTGCATTTGGACAATGGGTTTGCCTCTCTCACTTTGAAGAATACGAATTCATCTAATACAGGAACCTACGTGTGTGAGGTTGGGATCACAGCAAGGAACCTCTCTGGGAATGGACCAGGAACCCAAGTGACCATTGAGAGTAAGTGCCAGAGAGTTTCCTGCCTGATCTTCTTGGGGAAATGGGGGCGAGCGAGTGAGAACAAGAGCACACATCTCCTGGAAGGTGTTGAGTGTCTTCAGTTCCACCTTCAATGGGAGCTGAGGGTGCTTCACGCCTGCCCACAAGTACTAAACTCCTTGCAAGACAGAGCCCGGTAGGCCGGTAGGTGGGGGGACGGTTTGCTGGTCCTGCCAGGCATCATAAAGCTATGAATGGAACTAAGTGAAAGCATCACTTTAACCTCTGAGAAGCAGGGGATGTTAAATGGCCAGGCTGGGAAAAGAACACAAAATACTGGAGGGGGAGACATTTCTTTTAATAAATCCCCAGGCACCAGCCATTGCCACTGAAATTCTCCTGAATCAAGGTGCAATCGTCTGTTTCTCTCCTGCAGATTTTCCCGAGCTGATGGTGAATCAGACCCCAGCCAATATCCCTGTGTCAGAAGGGTCAGACCTCACCATGGAGTGTAGATTCACGGTATGGAATAAACACAAGACCTTGTATGTGAAATGGTATAAACATAGCGGAACTGGGGGAACGAAGAAGGAGCTGATGAGCGAAAGAGTCGGGGACCCAGCAGCCCTGGCTTTGGAAAAGGGTTTTGCTTCGTTCACTCTGAAGAACGTGAATGTAACCGATACAGGAACCTACGTGTGTGAGGTGGGGAGCACAGCGAGGAACTGGTCTGCGTCAGGAGCCGGAACCCAAGTGACCTCCAGTTCTAGGAGATGGGATATCTCCATTAATTAACCAATCATTTAATTAACCAATCATTAACCATCACTCGTAAGTACCAGTATTTTCCTATCCGCTCTTCACGGTGTGAGAGAGAGTGAATGGCAGCCTAAAGGTCAGAGAATGAACGACTGTAGCTGGCAAAAGCGGGTATGAATTCTCAGGTGTGTACAGTATATAACCCATAAAAATATGGGCTCCAGTCTGTGAGGAACTGAAGGTAATATAGTTCAAAGTACCCAAGTGATTTAGGAGCCTCCAATTTTCAAAGGGAATTTAGGCACTCAGGGCCAGATTTTTAAAGGAATTTAGGCACCAAAAGTTGTAGTTGGGATTTTCAAAAGCACCTCAGCACCTAACTGCCATTGAAATCAGTCACTTTTGCCAACAGGACTTAGGCTCCTAAGTCACATAGGCACTTTTGAAAATTGCCCCCAAATGCCCCTGGAGAGGGGTGTTCAGAATCTCCCAGGACTCAGACATGTCATAAGAACATTGAGGAGGGTGATGAACCTAACTCACCACTGCACTGGATGGGATAAGAAGCAGCCCCCAATGTCCATCTGCACCCAGAGCTAAACCGATCTTATGGCTAAAGAGTTGCTTCTTTTTCTGTGAGAACATCTTCATCCATCATTGAACACATCCCTGTATGGAAAGTATGTAGAAAAGCTGGAATGGATCCAGAGGCAAGCGACAAAGATGATCAAAGGGATGGAATGCAGCCATATGAGCAACGGCTGGTCTGTGTAGTTTGGAAAAAGAGAAGATTAAGGCGGGGGACATGATAGCGATCTTCAAATCCTTGAACGGTGCCACAAAAAAGATGGAGAAAAGTTGTTCTCTTTTGCCACAGAGGGCAGGACAAGAGGCAATGGGTTCAAACTACAGCACAGCAGATTTAGATTAAATCTCAGAAAAAACTTCCTAATTCCGAGCATGGAACAGACACCTCGGGAGGTTGTGGAAGCTCCTTCACTGGAGGTTTTCAAAAGGAGGGTGGAGAGGATCGGTCTTGGATGGTTTAGTGCAGAGGTCTCAAATTCAATTTACCTTAGGGCTAGGGCCAGTCCTCAAATCTTCCCAGCAGGCCAATAATGTCACTGAAGATGGTGTTCAGAAAAGTAAACTTTTATATTGTATTTTTTAATTTGAATTTCTTAGAAATATTAAAACTGTCAAACAACTTTATACAATATTTCGCCTGCCAGAGAGTTTTTAGTGTTTGCCAGACACCTGGCAATGCTTCAGTTCAGTCAGTTTGTTGATGTTTGGCCTCAGTGACTGAGCAGTTGAACCCTTCAGGATTGGAGCAAGGTGGGCATCAGATAGTTGTGTTCGGTATATTGACTTGTTTATATCCGTTGTGGAAAAAATGATGCTGCCTCCATGGCTGACTCTGCCCGGCAACTAATGATGGTCTCTCCCCCCAGCCAATGGGAGCTATGGGGAGCAGTGCTGACAGCAGACATTACTGGCAGCGTGTCTGCCTACGTCTCTCCTCCATGGACCGGCCGCAGTGGGGAGATTCTCAGGCTGCAGATGGCCTGCGGGCCGGGACTTTGAGACCCCTGGTTTAGTGGTTCTCAAACTGTGGGAGAGGACCCCAAACTGGGTCACGACCCCATTTTCATGGAGTCGCTAGGGTTAGCCTAGACTTGCTGGGGCCTGGGACCAAAGCCGAAGCCCGAGGGCTTCAGCCATGGGCAGTGGGGCTCAAGCCTGTTTCCCCCCGTCAGGGCCCTTTAACAACTCACTTGGTTTAAAGGTAATTCAAACCATCACCACCTGTAGTCCAATAAATCGAGTCCCCAGGGGCATATTGGCTCTCTAGGCCCCAGTGCAGCATCTCGCTCCTGATAATCCAAAACAACACAGACTCTTTCAAAAATAGAACACAAACTCACCCAGTCTTCATCCCAGTTTCAGCTGGGCACAGCCCTACCTCCCCGAGGGACTGTCTTCCTGCTTCCCAGCACCTCCTACCTGGTGTTTGTCCTCCTCCACAGGCCTTTCCCACTGGGCCTGGGCAGTCTCTCCCAGGCCTCCCCGCCTGGAGAGCTTTCCTCACTTTCTCCAGCTTCTTGAGCTTCTCCCCTGCTGGCTCAGAACCCTGCAGGAGTCGTCTCACTCGCTGCAGTGTCCACACACATGGCCACAATTTCATGGGCTTGCCCCCTTCTCAGCAGCTTCCTGCTTCTTTTGTAGTGGAAGCACCTGATTCCTCTCCGGTGGGACTTATCCTGTAATCAGGGTTAGCTTAGCCCAGGCTCTCCAGCCCAGGGGGCAGGCGCCCTGTTGCAGATGGGAACAGCAGAGGCAGTGCAGAAAGGCAGTATATGGTAGCGGTTAGAGCTGGAGACTAGGAGTTAGGAGGTTTTCATTTTATTTCTGACCGTCACAGACTGCCTGTATGACCTCAGGCAAGTCATTTCGTCTCCCTGTGCCTCCAAAAAGGAGATAATATTTCCTCTCCCAGCTTCTGTCTGTCTTGTCTATTTAGACTTTAAACTCCTTGGAGCAGGGACTGGCTCTCTACGTGTATGTACAGCGCCTAGCACAAGATCAGGGTGTGCCTGGTAAATGTTCTGACGCCCGGCATGCCAGTATTCACCTGTGATAGTTCTGAGTCACAGTTGGAAATGTCAGCATGGGGCAGGTTTAATGCATGAACAGAAATGAGATGATTTGTTTGTACATGCAAATTTGAGGTTGTTTCCAGACACATTAGTCTGAGGACAATTTGTCTGAAACTCTAACACAAGAGAAATGGAATTGGATTCTCAATGCGCAGTTCCTTTGTCTCCTCTGTTCTACCGAAGCAGCTGATAGAGTGCGCAAACCTCAAAGATCCAAGGACCCGAATCCCATCCCGCACTCCAGGCTCAGTAACTGTCCTTGAGCATCTTTCCAACGTCAACCAGTTTTAATTTCCTCATTGCCATTCTCCCATTCAGCTGATTGACGTGTTTCTGCATCAAGGTGAAGTCACTTGTGTTTCTCTCTCTCTGCAGCTGTTGACCTGCTGGTGAATCAGAGCCCTGCCTGTGTCAAGGAAGAGGAAGGAAAAAAGCTGACCATAGAATGTAGATTCAGGGCCCTGGAGAAACCCAGCACCAAGTACTCTGTTAAATGGTATAAAAATGGGACCGATGGAGACGAGAAGGAGCTGAAAAACGAAACGGGCTCAGTCACAACAACTCTAGATTTCTCAACGGGCCTGGCGTCTCTGACCTTGACTAAAGCCAGCGTGAGTGATTCTGGGTTCTACAGATGTGACTTCGGTAAAAATGGCCGTGGGAATGGAACCAGAGTGACGATCCAGGGTAAACAGCAGCATTATCTCCTCTGATCTGCATTGTCAGGATAGTACACTGTGTTCACCACTGACTCACACTTCCCACATGGTCACTGAAACCCCACAGCTACTTCCTAGCCTAGGACAGGGAGACGCAGTGTTATCTCAGAGATAGGCTGTGTGTAAATTATGGAGTGTTGTTGTAGCCGTGTGGGGCCCTGGATGTTAGAGAGACAAGGTGGGTGAGTGTGTGTAGCAGGCG